TATAAGGCGTTGACACGTTTGGTTCACATATGACAAGTATAGGGAATCGATTGGCCCGAACAAATTGGCGCAAGTCCGAGATACGGGACTTCATGCCTCTGGCATTCCACTGAAAAATCGACGCACTTTTAACTTCAGTGCGGAAGTCGAGATTTTGTTGAGCCATTGTGCTTATACGAAGTTAGCAAGAACTGGATTCAGTTCATCCAGTATTTGCGGTGCACTCTTAGCAGACGGAGATTGTATGCTGCTCAGTAGCGTGCGAATCGTGGCAATTAATGATTGCACGATTGCAGCCACTTGCCTGTCTTACGAGTTAACGTTAGGAATCATCCAAGCATTTGACCTAACACACAGGGGTGGTCACTTGATTACACTCCAATGGATTCCTGGACACTGCGGCCTGGTTGGCAACGAAACAGCCGATAGCGAAGCAAGAGCGGCAATATACAACGCTCCTATGTACGTCAAAGTACCCTACTCGCGAGGTGACGTCAACACATTGTTGAGATCACTCATGCGCGAATGCGCCGCCACTTACTGGTTGCTACCAGATCACCGGAACAAGCGCCTGCGGGAAACAGACCCCAATATGACTTTTCGTCTTCCAGATAAAATCAGCCGAAGACATGCTAGTATACTGCACCGAATTCGCCTGGGCATCGCCTTCACTCGCCACTACACCCACTTAATCGGCCGTGCGGACAGCCCAAACTGTGAACGCTGCCAAGTGCGCGAAACGATAGCTCACATATTTTGTGACTGTGCATTATACATGGCACAAAGAGAAATGCTAACTGCAACGTTGGCAAGCATTGGACGAACACCATTAAGTGAAAGCCACATATTGTCAGCAATTAACGACCAAACAGTGTCAAAAACAGCTACAAAGGCTGTTCTAGACTTTATAAAAAGCACTGGACTAGAAACTAGACTGTAGGGTACTATACTAAGTGGCTACTGTACATACGCACCACCTCTTGTCCCCATCATCACCCTTCATCCCTCTTTCTTTCCCCTTTCCCTTATCCCCTGTGTAGAGTAGCAGGCTAGAGCGAACTAGCTCAGGCCGACTTCTCTGCCCTCTAATAAATTCTCACTCACTACCTACTACCACTAATCGTCATTCTTCAAAGAAACGTGATTCCCGGTATACACTTGTAAGGCGTTATGGGCATTTTGTTAGTGCTGCGGCTGCCGATGATAAGATTTATGCACGGGGCTTTTGGAATGGGTTGGAGTATTCAACGACCCATTCGTTACGTATTTGGAATTATGTGACACTTTATGACACATGTTAATGCTATTCTTCACCCTAAATGAAGCCTACATAGGGTCAACTTGCGACGGCGTTGCAAGCACTCGCGTAGCTCAGCAGTAAGCTACTGGTCTGCCATGCAAAAAGGTTTGGTTCGATTCCCATTTTGCACTTGTTTGCTACTTTTCTTTCATTCATCATGTTCTCTATGACCCATCAGTTCAGAGCCGATTATAGTGTTTGTTTTACTTGCAGTCTAATGGTTCGACAGTAGTGTATTCGGGACTGTTACTAAGTGCTTTCAAAATTAATCCTCTAATTCTTGGAGGCAAGGCTTAGAAGGCGTCACCAAAGAAACGGCAGATCAATATAATAAAACGAAACATGCCTGATAGCTGAACTAGAGCTAAGCTAAGCACATACCGGTAGCTTAGAGCAGAGTTTCACCGGATTCACGTCCAGTTAAACCCTGGCTTTTATGCTCTACGTCTTGTGTGTTCTTCTACACTGCTATGAATCCAACTAGGCTTTTGAGTTCACTTTCTTAGGGTGTTGTAGGTATTCACAATAACTTTGTTATTATGCCAGAACGCGCTCATCAGAGGGGTTTTGTAACCCTGACACACTGTCGGAGTGACTGAAAGTAACAAAAAACACCGCTGAAAATTTTGAAGATCACTGAATATCTGAGGTCCTCTATAAGAGGGCTACCTGTGACCTTTGGCAGGAAGCCAGAACGCTCCCTCCTCTCATTGTAACTTCTCATCAGAAGGCCGCCATGACAGTGTTGACCTCAATTGGGGTTTCTGCTCTACCTTATGTTTGTAAATTTCGAGTTCATGACATGCCATCTGAAAATAAACACTATCCATTTATTTCTATTGCATTATTTTACATAATTGTATTTTTTTCTTTGCCTGAAAAGCCTCCTCTTGTTCCCTCACTTACGATTTGCTGTGCAGCCCCGACTGTGTTGGATTCATGCAACTTGGGCTCTGCCTTGAAGCGTTGCCGACGCCTTCTGTATAACGTCACGCCAAAATTGATGCGACTTCGGCGTGGCTGTCTTTCCTGCTCACACAGATTTCTCCACCTTCTCCTCAGCAGAACAACCGATCTCATTCACCTTCTGTTAACTTGTCTTTCTTTTATGCGTTCCCATGCTATGTTCGGTAAATGGCACAGGGAATCTATACAATGTGGAATCTATCGTATACTATCAGAGACATTTTTCCGCGTTAACCTAAATAATTTTGTGTCACTGTGAAAAACATATAGAAAAAAATGGGAAATCCTGAGGTTTCGCCTTGAAGATTTGAACGCAATAGCGATATCTTGTTCCTAGTGCGTATTTCAAGGACTTAGTGCATGAAACCTTTTCGAACTTGTTCTGCACACCATAGTGACCTTAAGAGAACAGGTGCTATAGCGTCTGCGTGCCTTTGTAGGGGGCGACCGCCTTTATACCGCGAAGTCATTAAGGTCATATAGTTTTCTAAATGAGGGAAATTTGGAGCTATTCTCTATGGATGCTGCAACGCACGGCGCTTCAGCGAGCACGAGAATGATGGGAGGCAGTTGGATTTGTCTAATGTTTGTACTTCTGGCTTTGTGCGTGTTCGTGGGGCATAAAGCTGTTTTCTCACGAAAGAAATATAAGCAAATATTGAGAGATTGTGCTTCACCACCTTATTCATTTAGACTTACCATATCAAATCGGGTCACGAAGTTTAGAAGGGTTCGTCCTTTCCTTAGGAACAAAACCGAAACACAACAATAAACGAAGCCACAAGTGCGATTCGCCACCCTAAAGTACAAAGACTAGGCAAATCTGTGTAATACCTATCATTCCCATGGTCGCTGAATGATCACAGCACCAGAGTCCCCTCTAGTTAAATTTAGGAAACTATGATTATGACAGTCGCATGTTCCGACGCCCGATGGCAATGAGTGGTTGTACCACGCACTGTGACTGCACTATTTCATTTTGAATTATGAAACATGTATACAGAATGGCTGCGTTTATAAAGAATACATGTGTGTTACTTTCACTGCTTTTAAAAGCAGAGGAACTTATTTTCACTGTATTCACGAGAAGACGCTTGGCCGTGTTGTTCAACATCCGCTTGCCACCGAACCCTCCCGGGTTCGTTTCCCACTATGACGGCGGGTTTTTTAAAGACGATAGTTTTTCTTGGGTACCTTCGACGCAAAAATTTTGGTCCGTCCGTCCGTCCGTCCGTCCGTTTACTCTTAACTGCATGGGGTACTTGAAACGTCCGACCCCATCCGCAGCGCCCCCCTATGTTGCTAAAGGCTGAGCGTTCATGTTTGTGCAATTGTCAATTGAAAAGCAATTATTGTGCATGTATGGGGCGCCATAATAACACGTATATATTCTACATGTGCGTCTCTTACTAAAAAAAGGCATACATAAGTAATTTTAAGGACCGTAGCGCTTATCACGCTGCGCTGACCATGCAACGCTTGCACGGAAAGGCGAGTGTTTCCAACGCTTTGCTAAAACGACACCGTGGTGGCACCGACCCGTCGCCTTGCATTCTACACCTTATCACCTCTGAGATGGGCGCGCACACCCGTCTCAGAGCCACGCGCTTTGTTTTCAAAAAAAAAAAAACTGCCAGATGGCGCTCATGTCTGACGTGTGATGTGACTGGATGCGCTCGTTCGCCTCCGCTGCACGCTTGAGGCACTAACACAGCGCCTCCAGAATACCACTCACCAATTTTCTTCCGCAGAATACCAAATAAATGTACTTCTTCACTCTCTCCACACGCAAGATTATTGTCTTTCGACGACATTTGCAGATTTCATGCAGATACGGGGCCAATTTTTATTATTAGTTTTATTTGCGCCGTTCTTGATTTTTTGGTCACGCACGAAATGATGGTTTTCCGCTCACAACCGTCGACGCTGGAATTTCCGCGAAACAGGCCTAATAAGCCATTCCGTTAAAATTATCCCAGTATCAGAGCACATATCCTGGGCACTCTCTTCCGCATGGTATTTGACTACAAATTGCTGGAACTTTTGAATCAATTTTTTCAGCAATCATGTGAACTTTATGCCGTGGAAGGAAGCCGACACGCAGGACGCCGTATGTGGAACATACTTTTTGGCATAGAACTTCAAAACGCCTGGAAATAACACTCTTTTTACTGGGCATCGTTCACAGCGATTCGCGTACTTTGTGCATGCCACTCAGTAACCCATGCTTGAAGAGAAATTCTCAACTATGTTTGGTGAGTGAGTATAGGACAATGGCTGGCGTTTACCTTTACAATGAACCAATTTAACACCAGCCTTTTCTTCTGCGCATCAATCCCTTTATATGTGCCATTAGGTGTGTAATTCGTGGTTTTATTCTCACAGGACGAGATTTCATATAAGCGAGGTATTGCGAGGCATGTTTAATGTACTCATACTGGTAACGAGCGTATTTGGCACTGAAGCATTAGTCGAGTTGGTGCAGACGTGTCCAACATGTAGACATTCGTACAGAGGTTTCTAGCTTTCGAACACGGTGCACTGCCATTTTATAGCGGCCACTGCATCAGCACAGAACGCAATATGAAAAAAAAGGTGAATCTACCACTTTTAGATGAACCGATTTGCAACACGTATTTCGAGCAATGTGGAAAATTTCACAGCTATATATAATGCGAGGGCTGATGTTGAAGGATATCCGAACATGTCAGTTTTGATTTGAGATAATTCTTACCGGTCAGGATACCCTTCGCTACAAGCGGTAGTCTCGTGATGGAACGGAGCCACCGGAAATCCTCCCACGTCACCGATGAAGACAGCAGGCCTCCCATGGTGTTTTCCGCAAAATGGGCGAACTTGAATGGTCTTCCGGGCCAGGATGCTTCCATATTCGCAAACCTACGCAATATAATAGACAAGCTGTTTCATTGACAGTCAACGGCAAGTGAAAGAATGATCTCATGCCATGTAACCATATAGGAAGAGCTGCATCAGTATTTGCAGCCTAAGACAAGCTACGAGACGCTGCTATACAGCGATTATTCAGTAATCACAAGTGCTCTGTAAAGGTGATGCATTACATGGATGATCGCATCCAATATAGCTACATGGTACATTCATACTCACTATTGCTCACTTACGGTCAGCAATATAGGAGTTTAAATATTGTACAAGTGAAATTTACAGGACACAGTTGTGACTAGAATACTAAAAAAAATATTCCTACTTCTTCTCATAAGCAGGCTGTCATGATTAACACTGAAATATTGGCCTGTTCCGCGAAAGATTTCGCGGAGAGCTGCGCCACTACATTACAATACAAGGAAAACTGCAAGAAGCTCTGTGCCATGTTTTTACTCACTGCTTATCGTACATCAATATGGTAACAGAAACTTCAGAAGTTTTCAGCAACCACATTTACAGCTCTTGAAATTTCGATAACATTGCATGAGCTCCCCACCGAAACGATGACGCACAACGTAGTGCGTGAAATGATAAGCAGTCCACTAAACAAAAACGACCTGTTCCTGTCACTCAGTTGCGTTGAGTGAACATGGTTATGCGCGCTTCCAAACACTCGCTCTGGTGGTCTTCAAAAAGAAGTAGGACCAAAATGTGTTATGTGACGCGAAAAAATAAAATAACGCCTTATCAAGCAATCAAGAACTTTATCGAGTAATCAAAGACTTTATCAAGTAATCAAGGACTTTATCAAGTAATCAAGGACTTTATTTCTTGTCTACAGAATCGTGTACAGTTAATAAACCCGAAGCAATTGTCAGGGAACTTCTTGGAATTTATTCCGTCCGTCCGTACGTCCGTCCGTCCATCCGTCCGTCCGTCCATCCATCCACCCATCCATCCACCCGTCTACCCATCTCCACCTACGAGTTTTAGCTCTCCTGGCCGTTTTGATAATGATAATAATACCAAACTTGCTGAGGCATAATATGACTGTATGAAGAACATATATGACAAGTCATAAGGTGAAAATTATGATATGTATGTCATAAATGTTATGATTTACATTTCATGGTCCTGCAGCTGTTGCGGTGGTTTCGTTCACATATCATGTTGAAAAACTGGTATGGTATGGCATGATTGCATGGCGAACACAAGCGACAGACCCTAACATCAAAATCATGACATGCGTGTCATGTAACAACATGACATGTCACGCTCATGATGCGCTCGCGGCCGTTTCGCTAGCGTCACGTATACCAAATTTGGCATTACAGTACGTGAATGAATGATAAAGGTATGTGACTGGTGCAAACATGATAATCACGAGATGCGTGTAATGTAATACGATATGACTACAAGCCACACTTATGAGGCGCTGGCGGCCGTTTCGCTAGTTTCACATATGGCAAATTTTGTATTACGACACGCCAATGAATGACGAAGGTATGTGACTTGTGCAAACATGATAATCATTATATGCATGTCTTGTCAGAACATGACTACGTGCCACAGTCAAGGTGCCAATACGTTTCGACGTGACGCGGTGCGCGTGCTCGCCGGCGTTCATTTCGTCGCGTGACGCTGGCGTTTCCACGCCAGGTGCCGGTCCTGTGTTATACCGCAGGCGCGCGCTGCGCTGCGTTGCTTTGATGCATGCGCGTTTCAGTGCGTCTGGCGTCCCTCCGTCACGCAAAGAGAAAGACACAATGTTGTAGGGGTAACGCATCGGCGCAAAATGCAGCACGTCCCATTTCGCGCCAGTTGCCGTTGGGCCGCACCCACAGACGCTGATCGCGCTGGCGTCAGACTATAGAGTGCTCACGTTTTGCTAACGTAGCGTCGCTGTGCCCAGCGTGCGCGGGCGTCAACGCTATATTGAAGTATATTAAGCCCTTCATGATGCGCTCGCAACCGTTTTGCTAGCTCCACATATACCAAATTCGGTGTTACGTGACGTTAATGGATCACGAAATATATGTCTGGTGCAAACATGATAATCCTGATACGCGTGTCATGTAAGAACATGACAACATACCACGCTAATAGCGTGCTCGCGGCCGTTTCGCTAGCTCCACATATACTAAATGTGGTATCGCGTGACGTGAATAGATGACGAAGGTAAAGGACACGTCCAAACATGATAATCATGACACGGAAGTCATGTACGGCATCATTTACCTGCGCCTCATAACGTTGTGCTGATTTTAAAGTGACATATCAACATTTCTCATTCGTGCTTCACATATCATCGATTCTCACTGTACGTTGGGTCTGCCAATTTTTTTTTATATAAATATTTTTTGAAATACCCTCAAGGTACATACAGTACATTATAGAGGGGAGAAAAAAGTACGCAGAGATAAGAAAAAACACAACGAAAGAGATACATGAACAATCAAATCTAGGTGAGTACAGTAGCACCTATAATAAAGACAAAGGGTAATTAATAACACCAATTGAAACACTGGTTATACAAAATGTACCTCTAGATTGTGTAGTTGAGGCATCAATATAATATCAAGAAAAAGTACACGGGCAAGAGCTCCGAACGGCAAAAAATAGTGAACAGATGGCACAAGTTTAAAATTTTAGATGATGTCCCAAGAGCATACTTGAAAAGAATTGGATCGCGTATTTTTACTACAGACGGTGGCAGATGATTCCAGTCGACTGAAGTTATCGGAAGAAATGACTGTGCGCACGTGACAGTGTTCAAAACTGAGACATTGACTTTATTACGATGATCCGCACGAGCAGATGTGAATGGTGGTGGGTAAACAAAAAGCGATCGGAGACTTGCATTGTGATTATATATTTTATGAAAAAGTGAAAAAAAAAAGCTAGCTTGCTTCTGGCAAATGGCAAGTTTTGGGATGTTTTAAGAGCTTTCATTTCCGTTACACTTCCTGCGTGGTGATAGGTCGTTAGTATAAAACGAACCTGAGTGATTTTGCACTGCTTCGATTGCGTCCACTCATTGGGATTGATCAGGATCCCAAACCGATCGTGCATACTCTAGCTGAGGACCAATACGCGTAGTGTAAAGCAGCTATTCTGGTGAAAATTCCTCTACAGTATGCTGTTACTATGTTATTACTGTGGTATTACTGGTATGCTATTAGAAAAAAGTGTGATGAATATAAATGATCATCTATAGTGCGCAAATCATGATACGCTTATTAGTATGGCATAATTTGCATGCTATGTTCTTGGGGAACTTGCGGCCGTACAAATGAATAGATATTCAACAAATTTGGCAACGTGCGTCATGATTGTTCCACGATGATAAATGGCAGGTGGTGGCATGAAAATATTGAGATTCATGTCGAAGATTTAAATTACTTATAGGCCCGCTCATTGTAATATAATGGCCGTTTCGCATCCTTGATACACCAGATATATTACTGAGGAATGGAACTGTATGAAGTACATATATTTAAAGTGTGAGGGTGAAAACAATGACATACATGCCATGTACTCCTCGACTTACAGTCCCGCTCATGTCGAGCTCACGGCGGTTTCGTTTGATTGATACACCTCAAATTTGTTATTCCGTGACTTGACTAGATGACAAATAATACATGACTTGTCCTGGCACAAAACTGAAGCTAGTCAGTGGGGTCTCACATTTGTAACATTATATATGGCGGCATCATTACGAGAATATATAAAGCATTGTCAGATGCTGAATTGATGACATAACATGGTTGCTTGGTCAAAGGTCAGCTGATACTAAATGCAGTGCAAAAGCACCTCGGGCTCACGTAGCTTTCATGAGAAGGGGAGTAAAAACAGTGAACTGAGAAGAAAAAAAAAGATGGTCTTTGCTTTCCAGTTCTCTTTAGTAAATTTATACGGAACCGCGCAACTTTTCGGGGACGAAGTGCACAAAGTTATTCCAAAGTTTTTTTTTTTTTGCGAAATTGCTTTGCTTATGCGTTTAACCGTAGCGCATGAGTGCCACACAGGAATTTCCCACCTGAGGCCATCCGTAAGTTGTAGCATTTGCTTGGTGATGTATGAAGACTGTCCAGAGACGGGAGAGTCCACCGTGACCACAATGGCAGCATAGCCGTGATGCTCCGCCCTCCTGACGATGGACTCGGTGAAGGTGCGGTTCTTGAATATGTATATCTGCTGCCACAGCAGGCAATCCGGGGCGCTGGCTCTGACGTCTTCCAATGAGACTGTGCTCGCAACGCTGAGGATCATGACGGTTCCCGCGTCCCGTGCGGCTGCAGAATATGAGGCCGCAATGAGCAGGGCTTCAAGATCTTTGGTACTTGCTCTTCGGAAGCTCGTGATTATTAATTGAAATGGCTTTTAGATGCGGAAGCATCTTATACTCGCGCCTTGTAGTGCGCCGTCCGCGCCGTCCGCGCCGTCCGCACCGCTTCTCGAACATTCGACAGCTGACGCGCGCGCATGCGCCGTCGCGCCGTCGCCCACTCTTCCACCATCTGTGCATCCCTTCCTCCTCTACACACCGCGCGCGCTTCACTCCTCCACCATCTGTGCACCCTTCCTCCTCTACACACCACGTTCGACATCTACAATTCTCCTGATTCTCCAGTGGACGCGCATGTGGCGTCGCGCTTCGAGAACATTCAACAGCTGACAGTGCATGCGCCGTCGTGCTGTATATATACTCAAGGTCGGCGCTCGCTCGCTCAGTTGCCGCTCGTCGGTTGGTTTGTACGGCGCGTCGACGTCCAAGGTCACGGTGAAATGAATTCCAACGAATCCACAAACACAATGATCGACGTCCCTTCGACCAGCGCCGCCCTTTCGCATACGTGTGTACGTGTTCACTCATTTAACACCCCCTCCTACAACCACGTTAACCAATTTAGCCATCGACCCAAGCAAGTCGCAATTTAACACCCCATTTCACAACCACGTTAACCAATTTAGCCATCGACCCAAGTAAGTCGCACTTTAACACCCCGTTAACCAATTATATGGTCCGCATCCTCCTCAGTGTTCCCCCGAGGGAAGCTGCGGGCAATTTTTTTTTCAATGAACGCTGCATAACAGTGCCATGAGTAGGTCGAACATGAGCGCGTCGACATTATTGCAGTGTTCTAGAAGCGTGACGAACGAAGACAGAAGAACTGCACGGAAGAAGTACTAACATTAAACTAATTTCCTATTCCTTTTTCATTGTATTGGCAGGCTAGAAATGCAAATATCCATGCTGCGAGTGCGTTAGAAGTTGTCCTAGACTACCTTTGCACTGTCAGCGGCGGTGTTAGCATAATAGCGACAAGATCAAAGATTCACGGTAAAGCGGCTATTCTCCAGTTACGCACAAGCTGACCATTGATAGCGTGTAGCACTAGCTTCGTGATACCGTGCAGCAGGTAAATGACGCGTGTGCAATATATCTCCGGAAAGTATAATACGGACTCCGTCACAATGAGCAGTCAGTTTAATATACACCTTTGAGATTGCGTCGAGAAAAGGGAAAGAAAGAACACCGCGAAACCACACGAAAGGGGGGGACAATCTTAACTGAAAGCTGAGTAGTTCTAAGCATAGGTGTAGAAGGGTATATGTTGCATTGAGCTTATATTATAAGGAGCTGAATATTTTAGCATTGTCGAGAGCGTAATCAATGTAAGCAGCCATTTCTGTTGGTTTTATGTGCTCTATATAATGCATACAACTATTGATGCACGAGGCGTTCATCCAGTCTCTACTTGCGGTCGGATCAGTTTGCGCCATATTTCCTTCCGCTAAATATACACCCACTAGCCCGATGAAAAGTTCTACTTGAACTATTGATAACTTTTCAACACCAGCTAGCCTTATGACTAGTTTAACCAATGTAGGTAAAGTATGCTTAGCGCTTACGATGAGCTGTTTTGACACTATCAAAAGGCCAGTATTCGTGCAGTGGTGGTAACAAAAAGTTGCAAATAATTGTCACAGTATCAGTTGTGGACAAACAACTCACAAAAGGCCATTTAATCCTGTTTGTAGCTTTAGGGTGTGTTGGAACTATATAAATGGATCACAATAGCTCGTAACAGACATTTATGAAGACACTAAAAAAAACCTAGTCCTAATGACAGGCGTCATACTCAGCTTAATCAATACTAGTGCTCAATGCTCCACTACTCAATGAAATATTCCCAACTTTTCGCCTGCACTCGACATCAGCATCGGCGTTAGGCATTGGAACAGTTTTTTACCCTTGCTAAACTTTAGTGCGGGTTGCATGTTATTTTGCCAACGGCTAAAACTGTGAACGATCATTGCATCGGGAACAAATTTTCTGCCAGAAAAAGGCTCACATTTGCCAACAATGACAAATGGGCGCTGTGGCATACTTACCTTTTGCAGTTCCGAATTCCCCGTCTCTATGTGATAACATATGAGCAGCAGAAGGGGAGAAGCCGACAGGAAAAGATATTTTATGACCCAACACTGTGGTAGAAGTGTCTATTTTCGATACGTCCACAAGGGACCTTGGTCTGAAGCGAAGCCTGCGTAGACAAAGTTAAGGTTTATTTTCTACCGCAACAGTTATCTTCTCACTACAACAGCACAAATACAGTAAAATGTTTTACTCATTGTGTTCCATTAATAAATGCATGTTCTCTCTGTATAGTGAATTCTGTCCGACGTTTTACTGCATGGTCACATTACCAGCAGCAATAACAAACCTAGTATTAAAATGAAGAAAATGGTTTTATATGACGGTATTAGCAGGCAAATAATGGTCATGATTTGTAAACAGCTACGTGGTCTCATGCTTCAGAGCATGTGGTTCTCTCATACCAATGCACGAAATGAGCGATAATGGTCTCACTTTTATTATTTCCATAAGCTTACGTAGATACCATGCGTTCCCCTATATAGTGTGTTTTCTATTATAATAATTGTACTTCTAACTGAATGCTGCATGTATTTATGCAGGTGACAGGTGAGTGATTTCTGTACACGACAGAGTGAGACTTTATAGAGATTCCGAGATATATGCGGCTGCAATACGCATATCAGGCACGCATAATTTTTATCTATGGTGCAAACAGATTGCTTCCCCGACCACTCGCTGTCCCCACCACGTCCACTTATTTCTTAGCCTCACTACCACTACCTTGCTCTCAGCTGAGTTTTTAACATATAATATGTTATGGCTTGTTGGCTTTCTTTAATTCAGCGCTAACTTTGCCACGAGGAGATTATGGGATAAATGCATGTCTCAGTATTTCAAGTGCATTGAAAGTGCTTTGACTGATAAGAAGTGAAAAATCTAAGTTTTTAGCCTATTAGCATCATGTTTTCTTTCTCGCACCTAAATTGCACATTATTAACCCACTCGGTGAAAACACAGTACGGTACAAAATTGTTGTTTTTCAATTCACCAGGCACCTCGAGAACGCAGCGATGTTTTCGTTCAGTGTTCGCTCCTGGCCAGCTCCACCGCCGATGTAGCCTCTGGTGGCATCGTCCAGGTTGGCCTCACCTAAGCGCTGAATGTCGCTCATGGTAACCACTATTTCATCTTGATCGTCTTGCCTGGGCATTGCGTTGACATTCTTGAAGTTCACTGCAATAATAACAATTCATCGAGAGAAACCATCAGAAGTGTTTGTAAGTTAGAGCAAAAAAAAAAGTGTGCAGTCGCATGTGTTAAGTCAAATTTATGCAATAACGCTCGTGTGAATCCACAAATTTGTTGCTGCTAATGCTCTCGCGAAGTCACGTCACTCGATAAATAACAGAGAGGTTAGGATATTCGGTAACTATGCAAACAAAGTATACTAAGAGTTCATTTATGTCTTAAGTTATTAGGTTACGGAAGTATGCAAATCATATCCAATAAAACTCTGCCTATAATTTGGGTGCGTCAGCAGATGCGGAAGCAATATTCTTATTGTACTACTGTAGCATTTTTGGTAGTTTTCTAATGTTTACGTGGACAATACTTGACGTAATCGTGAGTTGCAAGATCGCCTGAGCTGTGGTGCACTATTGTGCACCACAGCTCATTGTAAGAGTTTTATATTACTTGTCTGCTTGTTCTTTGCACGTTTAGCTACGCTAACTTCGAGCATTACGGATACGTTTTCGTTGTTTATTATTATATCGTGTACAAGTGCTCTTGTATGAAATGAGCCAATCAAGTGGCTTACATACTATCACTTGTGCTGAATAACGATCAATGAAGTCACTATTATCCCTGAGTTCATAGCTGCATATAAACTACAACGTAGTCTTTTTTCGGAGGCTACTAAATATGTAGCGAGACGGAAGATGACTCACATGACGTCTTAGACACTTAAGCTCCCTCGCTTCAACGTGCAGTCTCAGTTACAAAATGTTAACTCTAGTTTAAACAATCACCACTGGTGCACCCCTTCCTATAGGTACTACGTTCACTTTTAGCGGCACACAGTAGCACCAGTCATTCACTCCTGATTACTGTAGGTGCATGCTTTAAAATGCAAAAGTCTGTACACTCACGTGTTAATAGGCTAAGGGAAACGAGTAGAGTGATAACAACGCGACTTTGTGCGTCTGGCAGCATGCTTCTTCAACCAAAGAGCGTGACCTGCGCGCAGCGTCGTTGTTCTCACACGGTTCTGTGAAAAGAAAGAAATGTAGCAACACAATTAGGATACAATATAGGTGGAGCAACGGAGAACTACCAGTACGAACTTTCCATAATTAGCACTACTTAATTGGCGTGTAGAATGATGAAGTGCTGCGTTAAACTGTGCTGGGTTTCAGACAAGCTTTTCAGAGAAGCGTGGCACTGAAAACTATGTTTAAGGTTTTTTTCGAGTGTCAAGCAACGTGCTAGATGCTCGCAGGCTTGCTTTTTTCTATGTAAAGCTTTGTTTTACCTCAGTTGCTGTATTTCAGCGACAAACGGGGCAATAATAATATGTCATATTAAGTTATAGTATAATATACCATAATGTAGTATGATATATATCATAATATATTATAACATAGGACAGGGAGGTTAGTTAGTTCTCAGGCAGTCTGACTTGTCTGTGCTCAGGAAGGGGGTAAGGGGAATAAAAGATGACATAAAGCGATATCGAAAAAGAACAACTGTGTGATAATACAAAGTTACCGTGGGTTATTATATACCTTGCATACGTGGGCATCCCATGTGGTTCAAGCTGAAAAAATAAAGTTCCCCCATATTCACATGCCTCATAACATCGCGTGGAAGCTGTCCAATAGTTCTTGACATAACAAAGCGGAATGTGGCGGATGCACAGCTGCAACAGTGCAATTTCGCGGTTTATAAATTTTAAGGATATTATTTTTATGAGCGAACTAAGTTCTTACAGCTTGATGTGAAATGTCGAGTTCCCGCGAAAACTGATCCATGCCGTCGCATTGCACGTGCGGTGGCTTGTCGGCCACGCTCGACAACACAGACAGTCCGCAGAGCAGCCGCGTGAGAGAGAATTTATTTGCAGAAAGGCAGAGAGGCAAGCCGTGCAAAGTTTGCTAACATGTTAGCAGAAACAACTGAGTATTGGCACGAACTCTGTACGTTCCTCAATATCTTAGTTGATTGATAAATAATAAGATTGACTTCTTTATTGTAAGTCATATTTTGAGAAAAATGTATGCTAAATGACTTGAAGCACGTGACAACTTCGATTTCCTTGTTATTTATCTAAATGTATTAAATCGCACTTTTTTTGATAAGGGGGGGGGGCGCGAAATAAAATATCCTGGCAACACCGGCTACTACAAGTGAGGGGCGTCAACATCGCCTACAAATAGCGGCACCAGACTCGAGTGCCTTGGGGCACGCCACCGCAACGACAGTGGTCACGAAAATGCCCTTCTTAATGCAGGTCAGTTACCTTCCAAACGCGGCCTGCGTGCGTTCTGGAAATCGCAGTTTTCTTGTGGTGTCGTGCCCCACTTGTGTTATTGGTACATGTAGGTTACTGTGTGAAATGTTGTGGTCTCTTTGTAACAATGCTCAGGCGGTAAATATGCTCCTATTGTTGTCGGGTGACGTCGAACTAAACCCAGGACCTGTTTCACCTCCGTCAATGAAAACCATTGCAAATGCAATATCCCGCATAGAAGCATCTCAAACCTCGGTCCTGACAGAACTTTCACTAATCCGAACATCCCAGTCTAGCATTGAGGCGCTCGTGACCACCCTCTCGACTCGTGTTGACACCCTAGAAAAAATTGTGCAGTCGACTCAGTCTAACGAAACAGGTCTAAAGGCAGACGTGAAGGACCGTTTTGCCAAACTTTCTGCGGAAATCAGGGTTCTTACAGATAAGTGTGATGATGCTGAAAATCGCCTACATCGTTCTAACCTGCTTTTTTGTGGTATCCCAGACACAAAAGGCGAGTCTTGGATTCAGACCCAGGCAAAAGTGATAAAATTTTGCTCTGAAAATCTCGGTATCTCCATACCAGAAGACGACTTGGAGCGTGCACGTCGGCTTGGTCGATACCAGCAAAACAAAAGTAGACCTATAATAGTAAAATATGCAAGATTTAAAGATAAATAAAAAATTCTTGCAGTTGCGTCCAAGCTCAAGGGCACGACTTTTTCAATTCGCGAAGACTACTCAGCTAGAGTTCGACAGGCACGAAGGAAACTATATGACCATGGCATGCTGAGCGGCAAACCCTTCAAGCTACGCTTTGACAAGTTACTACTTGAAAACAAGCAATTTTCGTACCATGCAGAATCTGATAGCGTTGTTGAATTGCAGTCGTAGCAGTCATTTCTATATCTCAGGCATGCGCGTCGCCCACTTCCCCCCCAACCTTGCCTCGCCCCTATGAATGATCCCGTTTGTCAATGTATGGCAGTCTTAATCGCTAATGTGCGTAGTTACCTGCCTAAGAAAGACGCTGTTGAATACCTTTTGAATGACAACACTGACGTTGCAATATTTACGGAATCTTGGCTTCAGCCGCACATAGCTGACCACGAGCTATTACAAGACGGCCAAGCGTACGCTGTTCACCGGCTTGACAGGGTGGGGCGGAATATTGATTTTTGTTAAAGAAAGTGTTCCTTCTTATGTCATCAAAATGAACTGTCAACACGAAATTTTTTGTGTGAACATCTCACTTGCTTCGAAAATGACTGATTATTGCTTGTTACCGCGCTCCTAATTGTGATGCCTCCTTCATTCATGAACTAAATACAGTCCTAGTACATCTTTACTCTCGTTTTCCTTTTGCTTATTTCATGCTCTGTGGTGATTTTAATTTTCCAGATATTAACTGGACAAATTTTGAGTCAGATAACCGCCAGTCCAAAGATTTTCTTGAAATGACCCTGACGTTTAACTTTACTCAGATGGTTAATACACAAACCCGTGGGGCAAATATCTTAGACCTCGTACTTGTTTCCAACCTTGATACAGTAAATTCGGTATCATCCGTTGAAGGTCTATGTGACCACAATTTAGTGCTATTTAACCTAAGCATCCCACGTCCTGTACGACAGCGCTCAAGAAAACACATCAGGGATTACAACAAGGCCACTTTCACAAAAATAAACTCAGAATTAGGTGAGTTCCTTGATTACTTCCATCGGTCTGCTTCACTTCGTTCAGTAGACGATAATTGGCTGTTATTTAAGAATAAGTTAACATCGCTTGGGGAGTTACATGTACCCCTTGTACGCATTTGCGGTGACCTGGGAAAACCCTGGTTTTCGAACACACTAAAGAGGTTGTTAGAGGAAAAAAAGCGTCTTTTCCGCGATGCGAAGCAATCGGCAACTTCCTCAAAGTGGGAAAAGTATTTTACGAGTCTGCGTCAATATACTTCTGCTTTGAGGCAATCGAAAAAGAAGTTCTTCCACCACGACTTGCAGACCATTATGCGTGTCAACCCTAAAAAATGCTGGAAAATCCTCACACCTAGTAAAAACTCCAATAACATTTCTTTGAGTTACCCTGATGGTTCCAATGTGCCAATTGATGAGCGATCAGATGTAATCAACTCGTACTTTTCATCTGTTTTCACTAATAAACCCACGCTAAACGACTTTGATCCGCCCAACCTTTCTCTTTCCGATATGCCTCCTATAATCATTACTTCTCCAGGAATCTTGAAGCTCATTGAAAAAATGATTTCTAGTGCCCCAGGACATGATGGTATTACAGCCAAAATACTAAAAGGCACGAAAGTGTTCTCTAGTTCTATATTAGAAATAATTTCCACGCAGTTAATCACTGACAGTTCACTTCCGACGGACTGGAAAATTAATAAAGTAGTACCTGTATACAAGTCTGGCAGCCGCTCGGATCCCTCCAACTATCGTCCCATTTCGCTTACAAGCATTGCCTGCAAACTCCTAGAACATATAATATACTCCCAAATAGCATGTCATCTAGGTAATCATTCCTTCTTTTCCCCCAATCAACAAGGTTTTCGGCCTAACTTATCATGTGATACTCAGCTCTTTGAATTTGTTACTGAGCTTCACTTAAACTTCGACTCATCCTTTCAAACTGACGTCATTTATCTTGATTTTGCGAAAGCTTTTGACTGTGTCCCCCACCAGTGACTTCTGGCCAAGCTCTCATGCCTACAGCTGGACCCCCTAGCGTTGTCATGGATCCGATGCTTCCTGACCAATCGTCTCCAATACACGGTTGTCGGTAATCACTGTTCAGCCACTACTAACGTGATTTCTGGAGTACCACAGGGATCCGTTCTTGGTCCTCTGCTCTTTCTCATCTTCATAAACGACCTTCCTAATGGCATTTCATCTTCTATTCGACTTTTTGCAGATGACTGCGTTCTTTATCGTCGCATCGCACACCGAACTGACCATGAAATCATTCAAAGCGACTTAAGTCAAATCGAATCCTGGTGTTCCAATTCATTAATGAAACTCAATATTTCGAAATGTGAAGTTATGCAGATATCCCGTAAGCGCTCCAACAGTAATTACACGTATTTCTTAAACTCGATAGCTTTGTCCCTCGTCGAATCTTATCGTTACCTTGGTGTCACAATAAACAAAAAATTGACATGGTCCGATCATATCACCAAATTAGCAGCCGACACTACTAAATCACTTGGTTACATCAGACGTTCCCTTTCCTTGTGTCCCTCATCCACGCGAAAACTGGCTTACGAAACATTTATACGAAGTAAGCTTGAATATGCCTCAGCTATTTGGAGCCCTCATCAAGCATACCTCATTAACACTTTAGAATCTATACAGCACCGTGCGGCCAGATTCATCTCTTCTAGGTACGGCCGTGATGAAAGCATCAGTGCCATAAAGTCATCATTGGGACTCAAGTCATTGTCGTTCCGTCGGAAGATTGCAAGGCTGTGCTTGTTCCATAGGCTTTACTATAACTTCCCACATCTTCACGGTAAACTCTTTATCCCGCCAAGCCGTACATCTCGTCGCCTTTTTAACTCGTGCAGCGTCCAGCGTTTGCACGGTTCTACGTCTTCTTTTAATCAATCTTTTTTGCCAACAGCCATTGCAGAATGGAACACTTTGCCAGACTGTGTTGTCGTTTGCGAAACCCTATTGCGTTTAAGCAGTTGCTCACTGATCATCTTACGCTGTAAAATTCTTTTACACTCTTCTTTCTTTTCG